ATAACTGCACCTGTAATAAAGGCTAATTGGGTACCAATATGTTTAAACATCTGAATACAATATCAATACTGCAGATTGTATTACTAATGCAATGGTAATGAGGATGATTATTAACAATAGCAGCAAAAATATTTCTCTAATCCCCACATATCATCCCCTCATATCAAAAAATATGTCTGCATTCTCTTTTTCGGTTCTTGGTTTATACAGATTACTATAGAATATGTTAATTTCCTCACTAATTTGGTTTGGTTCCTCTCTCATAGTGCCATCCTCACTCAATTTAGTTATTTTTTTCTTTGTTTGTCTGCGCTTCTCAAGACTATAGAAATAAGATGAATTTTTTTCCCCATGTTCAATCCACTTGGCTTTAGACCTTACATATGCTCTTTTAGCCTTAATCAAGTACACCTCATCTAGTTGATTTTGTAAAGATTGTAAACATTCTGACTCTTCTGCAGTCATACAAGGCCTACCACATAATAAATGTATTTGTTCGATTAGATTTTTCTGTTTACATATGCGTAGGGCAGACACTTTCTTTCCCGTTTCTATAGCTAGTTGTTTGACACTATATTTAAACCATTCCCATTTATTGACATTAGTCATCATCAAATTGTTAATTTCTAATTGAATTTTTTAAACTTGTGTACAGAAATCTTTGTTTTGTAATAAACTATTGTTATATTTCCATAAATTCTCAGATCTTTGTTGTTTACGTAGAGATAATGAGAGACTTATCAGACAATGATCAGTAAGTGGGGTTGATTGGGTTTCACATTTAGTAACATATGATGATACTGTTTGGGAGACAAGCCAATAATCTAGTCTTGAACATACGTTCTTATTTGTTGGACTAAACCAAGTGTATTTCTTCGTATTTGGGTTTGTCATCCTCCAATAATCCATCATATTAGTTGTTGTACAAAAGTCACAAATAATGCTATCGTGTTCTGGTTGTTTCCCTCTCTGTGGTTGCCTGTCAAGCCATGAGTTAAGGTTAAAATCGCCTCCAGTTATTACCTGGGTAGAACCATATGTATTACTCCAATTTGCAATTAATTTACTTAAGTTACATTTAGTTAAGTTTCTATTTAGAGACCTGTTATTGTATCCATACACGTTGATAAGATTAATTTTCTAGACTCATTGCTTGTTAACACTTCATTTGCAGTACTGTTTAATCCTGTGGGTGGCGCTAATCGGTTTTTCCAAACCGCCAATAAGAGGAACACGAAGAAGACGAAGAACGCTAAGAAGAAAACAAGCACCATAGAAGGTACTGCCGCTATAAACACTCATTTAATTTTTAACTCTCTGTTTTGAAACTACGGCATGTCTATAAACAGCGACTCTGTTGCTTTTTAATGGTTTGCTAACCAGTAGACTGGTTTCCAGTGGTTTCAAATAGCTAAAAATTAGCGAGGGGTTTAATCCATTTTTAAGTGTCATTGTTCAGTGTTTTTTTTTTTGTTTGTTTGCTTTTTAAAGCATCATTAAATGATCCAACATTACGTAAGAGCGAAAAAAGTTAGCATTGTGTGCAAAGAAAATGAAATTATGGCTCATAATTATTAGTAGTAGTAGTAATAACGGAGCCCTCACAGACACGAGCAGCTTCCTGTATCATCAGATAAGCACAGGCAGCTCCAACCGAGCTCAGCGCTGTATTACTGCATACACAGCGGGTTTACTGGGGAAACTAGAACCAATACTCTAAATACATTTTGCAGCATAATAGGAGTGAAAAAACAAAAAGCTGCATTGGCGGTTGTTGCAGGCACATTATAGCCAGTGTTGGCAGCTCCTCAGTAAGGAAAATCGCTATTGTCGTTTAATGTCCTAAAAATCGCTGGATTCATTTCCAACCCTGCTCCTTTATCCGGGCCTGGACTGGCAAAAGTGACCCGAGATTGGCACTCTGGTGGAGTTAATTTGTGTGTGTGTGTTTATAAGTAGTTTTAAACCTTGTGATCCACAAAACAGCATAACAGTAAAGGAAGAACTGACTGCATTACAGTCAGTGCGGGAGCAGCGGCTTTGCTCATGCGCGATTCATTTGCAGTTTGGACGCACAGGTGTGAACGTCTCCTGCCCTGATAGCACTGCTAGCAGTGAACCTGGCAAAATGCACACCTCCTGATAATTCCCCTTTCTGTGAGTGTAGAGAAGCTGCATATTTAACCCCCGAGACCTTTTAATTTACAGGAGTGTAGGTCTGTCACATTAAACAAATGTTGGTGTAATAAATAGTAGGGCTGCAACTAAATATTATTTTGGTAGTCAACTAATCTGCCAATTTCTCTTTGATTAGTCAACGATTATTTCAGTAACTCTTATCTAACGTGTACTAGCCTCCATACCTCACGTGCTCAAGTCTGCCCACTTGTGAATATCACTCCGTCTCAGCCCAGTGCAAATTAAAATAATGATCTAGGAAACATGTGAATTGAAAAATAATCAAATGAATCTATAGGATTACTCAACATCAAATGTCAGGTAATACATATTAAAGTGCTACTAGTATTTAATTAAAAAAAAGTGCAAATAAGAAATTAAAAATGGCAAGCTTTAAAATAAACGTAGGTTTTCAGTCCAAAGTAACAAGTTAACAAAGTTTACAGATGATTCATTTCATGAATTCACGATTGCAGTGGACATGCTCTGGAGTGACGCTTGCTCTAATCTTTGAGATGATGCTCTCTGTCATGTCTTCAGTAGGGATAGGTATCGTTTAGGTTTTATCCGATACCAGTACCAAACCGGTACTTTTGAAATGGTGCCGGTGCTTAAACGGTGCTCGAACCGGTGCTCGAACCGGTGCTCGAACCGGTGCTTGAACCGGTGCTTAAAGAATGAAGAACACACACTTTGTCTAAAAACATCTCATGTTTAGCTGTTTCCCTCTTTTTCTTTGGGCATTTTAGCCTTTTTGGCCAGGGTGAAGGGAGTATCTGCCATCAAACAAGAAGACAGCCGCATGTAACTACGATGGTGTTTGCTAGATTGGCTAGAATTCAAAGTGTATGACATCTCAGGGAAAAAAAGCACCGAAATAAAGCACCGAAATGTGTGCTGCTTTTCGGTCTGGTTACTACCGTTTATGTCAGAACCGATGCCATAATGGCACCGGATACCGGTACCCATCCCTAGTCTTCAGCCATTTGACAGGTGCAAGAGCCTCTGTACAAGACAAACTCATCTATACGCCTATGCTTAATACTAGTAAAACAGAATAAGAAAAGACTGCTACTACTTACAAATTTGGTTGTCTATGATAGTTTCACAGATAGTGTAGTGTTCAATGCCAATTACACTGCTTAACTGATTACATTTATGATTAATTACTGATATGGCCCAACTCACAGATTAACAACCTAACATTAGGTGGAAGAGGTTTACTATTCACAATAGACGATAATATTAATGTGAGAAAACGACCTAGGAGACAGTGTAGCTACTC